AGGCTACATATTGTATGACTCCACCTATATGAAATGTCCAGTATATGAAATCCACAGAGACAGAAGGTAGATTAGCAGTGGCCTGGGGCTGGGAGCTAAGGACACTGAGGAAATGGGGAGTGGCTGCTAAAGGGTACAACATTTCTTCTTGGTGTGATGGAAATGTTCTAAAACTGATTGTGGTGCTGGTCGTACAACTTTATGAGTACACTAAAAACCCCTGAGTTACACACTTTATATGGTGGGTTATATGTCATGTGAATTATAGCTCAAAAAAGTTGTAACCAACAGAAATTTGATGATTTGACTTAGCAACGTGACCTTGGCAAAAGCAGTATTGGTGGAGTGTTGAAGTGTGTTCAAGAGGGAGCAGGGGAACCTTGGAAGTAGCAGCGTGTGTAGACATTTTTGGAGTGTTGCTGTCAGAAGGGAGGAGGGGCTGTCAAGAAACACTTTGCTTTCTTCTTGTGGGTTTTGGTTTTTGATTTGAGATGCCAGAAGTTCTGTTTCAATGCTGATTAAAGTGATCCAGTCAGCAAGTGAGGAAAAGTGGCTAGAATTGAAGCCCTTGAGCAGGTGAGAAAGATAGGGCCTGCAGTGGGCTCAGGGAGAAGGGAGCAGGCTCACCCCATGTGGAGGAGGGAGGCTGAACAGGAAGCACGGAGGAGCCAGGCAGATGGGTAAAACGGTGTGGAAAGGCCTGGAAATGCTCTTCAGGTTGCTTCTGCTTTCTCAGTGGAGTAGGAAGCAAGGTCATTAGCTGAGAGGAGGATGTAAGCAGAACTTCCAGGGACTGAGGAGAGAGAAGGTACGACCCTGTCCTCTGTGATAGTGGGAGAGTGAAAAGACTGGGTCATCTGTTAGGCTTTCCAGACAGTGCCAGGAGCGCCCTGGAGTGGTGGGCCTGATGGTAAAGTGAGGTCAGTCAGAGGGCCTTGGCCTCCAGCTTCCGTCAGCTGTGTGGGCTTAGCCAGGGTGTGGTTTTGCCAGGTGGATGCAATTTAATGAGAGGGGAGCAAGGGGTTCCCGGTGTATGCAGGGAGGTAATTACAGCAATGGTCCATGGACTCCAAGTTAGTTCAGGAGGAAAGTCAGGTCATGAGAGAGAGGAGGAATAGAGACCCAAGTGGGAGGATCAGTAGATTAAAGGTCTGGTGGGTCAAGGAGTTATTGGAGTTGGGTGTTACAAGAAGTGAGCAGAAAAGACAAGAGGTGATGTTGATATTGAAATTATGCAGGGTGGGGTACAATTATCAGTAATGACAAGGTCCATTACTTTGGCCATGTGGGCATGAGGTAAGGTGATCTCCATGGGGGAGAACCATCTGTGTGTACATTTACTCCGCCATTCTCATAGGCAAGGTTCTGGGTAGGGCCTGGGCCTGGGATTCAGACAAACCTGTCCTGAAGTCTCTTTCCACTGTGGGGCCCTTCACAGATTACTGTTTCTCTGAGCTTCAGAGTTTCCTCTCCTGAAAAGTAAGAGGTTGCTTCTGTGTCATAGAATATTGTTCTGAAAAACTTTTTTTTTTCTTGTGAACTCAGGGTACTCTACCAATGAGCTATACCCCCAAGCCCTTTTTTCCTTTTACTTTTTATTTTGAGACCAAATTGCCCAGACTGGCCTCAAACCTGTGATCTTTCTGCCTCAGCCTCCTGAGTAGCTGGAATTACAGGCCAGTGCTACAGACCACCTGGCAAATGTTCTGAAAATCCAATAAGACTGTGGAAAGCTCTGGTTTAGTTCCAAGTACAGTTCCCAGAATGCTCTTGTGTCTGGGGTCTTAAAGCCAAGGAGGAGCCATTGTAGGGACCAAGACTCTTTCCAGGACCCATTCTCCCTCCCCACTACCTCAAATCATAGAAGGAGTGAATGGAAGAACCTGATTCCCATTTCACTCCCATTTTACAGAACAGGAAACTGATGTCCAGACAGGGAAATCACTTACCTATGTCATTAAGAATCAATTATCATAGAAAATAAGTTCCTTTTCAATATCAATTAGGGTCTTAAGATGGGAGTTTGGGGGGATGTGGGGGAAAGGCTCCTCTATAACATTGGGAGGTCAATTGAATTCATGAGGATATTCCTCAGCCAATGTTCCCCTCCATTCAAGGGAACAATTAAAAGCTGGTTTCGGTGAAAATGGAAGATCTTACTGGATATACACCCATGCTCTCTCTCAGTCTTCTACATCCCCAAGTGACTCCACCCCACTGGACAAGCATGGAAACCATCAGCTTTGGGGATGGACAAGTCAACAGAAGGGTGATTCACCACGCACGCATCTGCTAATTGCTCTTCCTAGCCCAGACAGAAGGGAGGAGAGAGAAAAAGAGACCTCAGAGTTTCCTTAGAAAACTTGATTCAAGTGCATAGGGTGGACACAGCTTTAACTGGCCCCCAGGAGGTCCTGTCCCCAGCACTAGCTAGGGTTTCCAGCCCTAGCTAGTCCTCCTGCAGTAAATCCCTCCTGCTTTCTGTACCCCAGTCTCCCATCCAGAAATTGAGAAGAGAGTGAACAAACTTGTTGTGAAAGGCCCGCCCAGCTGGGGCCTCCAGAGTCTAGGAATGGGAAGCCTTGTGCCTTTTCTGGGGCCCTGGCTGTCTAGGGACAGGCACAGGAGATGGGGCAGAAGTGGATCTGACAGACCCAATGGAAACATCACCTTGTTACAGAGTTCTTCCATGATCACAGCATCTAACAATGTACATTGATTTCCCTAGTTCTTTCTGTCTCTCCCTCACATACAGCATTATTCTCTCTCCTATGACCCTATTTTATTTTCTTCTTATCACTATCTGAAATGCCTTAATTTTTTTTTTCTTCATTAGTGTCTTTCTACATTAGGAAGTTCTAGAAAGGATCTAGGGATAGAGTTCAGTGGCAGAACATTTGCCTACCTAGTATGTTCAAGGCTCTTGGTTCCATCCCAGTATGGCAAAAGGAGGGCAGGAGAAAAGAAAAAAGAAAGCTCTAGAAAGACAAAGACTTTGCCTGCCTATCTCACAGCCTAGCTCAGCACCCAGTACACAGTAGGTACAATATATATATACACACACACTAAAGAATGAATAAATGGATGGATGGATCTGGTGGGTGGTGCCAGGGCTGTGCCAAGCATGACTGTGATCTGTGGCAGCTCTTCTAAGAGGAGCACTTGGAAAATTGGGCTCTGGAGTCAGGAGACCTGAATTCGAGCCCCATACTGCCAATTAGTGATTGTTTGACCTTGGGCTTATCACTTGATTTCTCTAAGCCTCAGTTCCTTCATCTGTAAATTGGGAATAATGATACCACATCCTGAGGTATACTTTTAAGAATTAGAAGTCATTATGTAAAGTGATCTGGACATAGTAGGTATTCAGTAAATATTAGGTTCCCTTTTCCCCTTCCAGTGCTGTGGCTGAATCTCAAGCTCTCTCATCAGTAGCCTCAGGAAGACTTAGGGTTAGAGTTTGGAGACTGGACTCAACCTAAGGAGATTTCTTATCTGTTGTTTATCTTTCAACAGAAGGTAAAACAGGCTGGGCCTGGTGGCATGTAAACCCAGCTACTAGGGAAGCTGAGGCAAAAGTATCAAAAATTTGAGGCTAGTCTGGGGGAATTTAGTGAGAACCTGTCTCAAAAAAGGAGTGGGTGTGTGTTGGAGATGAATCTCAGTGGTAGAGTGCCCCTGGTTTCAATTCCTCAGTGCTAAAAAAAAGAAAAGAAAAAAAAAAAGAAAAGAAAGTAAAACAGAATAGCAAGCAAGGACTTGGACTTGCCCATGGTCACATGGCCAACAGTGGTACAAGCTATAAGTCACCTCTCTGAGGGCCAGGATGCCCTCAGGCCTCCAAGTTGAAGATAGACAGGGGTAGCATCTTGCTTGAACTAAACTCCAGAATGGCTGCTCTGATCTGAGAGTTAGGCTCCTGAATTCTAGTCCCTGGTGCATCAAGTCAGGCTGGTAACCTCTGCGTGTAGTTTACTCTTCTAGGTCTTGGTTTCTCCTTCTGTAAATTGGTCATATTACTCTTTCACAACCTGCTTTACAGGAGAATGGGAGAATGTTAGGAAAAAGATATTTAACTTGATATATTACTAGGACAATTATATTTAAGAAAAAATATTGTAGTGATGAATCAGGTGGCCTCAATTTCTGAATTTTTGCCACAGTACATATATTTAAAATCAGGAAAAATGATTAATTCAAAAGTAACCATTACAATAAGTCTCACCTTCTAGGCTTTATAAAGTGGAGAGAAAAACATGTAAACATGGTATCCATCCTCTAGCCCTAAAAATGTCCTAGGTCAGTACAGGCGCAGCGGAAAGAGGATGCTCTACAGATTCTATACCCGTGGACCACGGTGACACTCACTTGCTGTGGGAGGTTGGAGGAACCACTCCCACTTCAATTTCACCGAACCTAAACTGGTACTTGAACGCTGTTCATACTTTGATTTGCAAGGACCAATCAGGAGAGGGAGCATCTACCCGTTATACACAGAGTGCTTTACCTTGCTTCTCCTCTGGAACACAATTGGCGAGTAGGAGGAACTCTGAGCAAGCGGCACGATTTCTTCGGGCTTCTGAAAAATAGCGGATGAGCAGGACCAGGCCAGGCGATTCCTCAATTTCTTCCAGCGCAAGAAGAAAAACAAACAAACAAACCTCAGTGGTCTTGACTCTGCTACAAACTAGTGATCACTCCCCTGCCTTCTGCCCCTGAAGGGCACGGTCCCTTTAAATGCAGGCCCGCGGGGTCCAATCACGTTTAACCGAAGTTCTTTGAGGACCAAAGGAGGGAATTCAGCCTGAGCGGGAGGGCGGGGCAGCGGCGTGCCTTCCAACCAATCGGAATCTCCTCAAGGAATAGTGACTCACCTGCAAAGTTCTGTTGACCAATGGCAGGGAGGCCTAGAGGCGGGGCGGTTCCCACTGTGTGACAGATGCCCGGACCAATGAGCATGTCGCCCGCGGCCTATAAGAGTCCGCTGAGCCCCGCACCGCAGGCTCTAGGGTCGGTTAGCCGTCGCCGACAGAGGTGTGCCCTGGGTTTGCCTCGCTGTCGCCCCGTCCCTGCATCCCCGCCCCAGCCTTGGCCCCAGCCAGCGCTCTCCTTGCCCTCCTCCCCTTAACCACCCCCCCGGTTTCTGCCGTCGGGGCTCGGGGCCGGGCGAATGATGCCGTCGGAGAGCGGAGCTGAGCGCCTGGAGGGGGCGGCTGCGCAGGTGGGGACGGCCGCGGCCTCGGCAGTGGCCACGGCTGCCCCAGCAGGCGGCGGCCCCGACCCGGAGGCCTCATCAAACTCCCCCAGGCACCTGAGCAGGCTGGCTTGGCCACAGGTGAAGCGGCTGGACGCGCTCCTGAGCGAGCCGATTCCCATTCACGGGCGCGGCAACTTCCCCACGCTGAGCGTGCAGCCCCGGCAGATCGTGCAGGTGAGAGGGCGCTGGGCGGGGTCAAGGGGAGTCTATCCCTAGGCTGGAAAGCACCAGGGTCGGTTCGATTTACTGGGACAGTCGAGAAACTGAGGAACGGGGACAGGTGCTGTAACAATTGGACACGTCTTCTCTGTACCTAATAAACCTTCCCCACTTGGATTTCCCGTTCCCCCTCCTTTGGCGGGGAGGAGCCCTAATTCTCCCGGGACTACTCACCCAGGCCTAGGCTAGGAGAGGGGATGGAGGGACTCTCCGGCCCTCAGGCACTCTTCCCCTGGTAATATGCATGCTTGGGTCCAAAATAGCTTTTCCTCCTCCACCCAGCATCTCTGGGCCTCCTCCCCCTTCACTCTTTCAAGGTTTTAGGGGCTCTGTCTTTGCACTCCCACAGCCCTTGGCTTAAGAACCCCTGGCTAAGTGGAAAAGCCCAGAAATCCTCGTCAGTGACTTCCTCGATGTCACTGGGGTTGCGGGGGAGAGGAGATTAATTAAGTACGAGGCCAGACCTGAGACTCCACCCCCGAGGGCAATATGAAGTGTCTAGTTTTAGATATTCCTTTTCTCCCCAAGATTGGAAAAGATGGCCATCCCAAGTCTACCCCCATCTCTCCCCTGAAGGACAGATGAGAGAGAGAATTGTGGCATCCTCTCTGTCCTTCGAACTTCTTCCCTTTTTCTGATTCTCAACTCCGGAACTGCTCTTTCATCTGTATAGCCCAGGCATGGTTATGTTCTGAGCCATAAGAGGATGGTAATTATTGTACTCATGTTATAGCTGAGGAAACTGAGACCTCAAGAGGGGCACTGAGCTATCTAAGGTTACCTAATGAGTGAAAATCAAACCCAGGTAATCCTGGACCTTCCCAGGAGAAGGTTGCTGCAGGTTCAAGGTTTTCCCACTTCTCTGGCTCTCAAGCTGAAGGTCTAGGTCTATCAGGAGGCCCCTGATGGGGGTGGGGGGATCCAATGCTGAGTGTCCCGATAGCTTTTCAAACAGGCTAGAAAAAGCAGGCCATTCTCCTGCCTCCTCCACCTTACCTCCTGCAGAGGGGGAAGGGCCTGCTGGGGGATTACCTTGCCCTCCCTCCCAAGGAACCAGGAACGGAGCAGTAGGGGGCCGGCAGATTTTCCTAGGCTGACTCACAGGCAGCCCCAGCAGAGCAGAGGCATTCCTCAAGGCTCCCTGTCATCTGGGTGATTGGGAAACCAGCCAAGGCTTTTCTCCCTGGGATGCAGGGTCAACCCTGCCCTCCCCCAACCCCTGAGCATCACTGTGACAGCTCCCCTGTACAGGATTCAAACTGTGTCCGCTCTGTTCCCATGCCCTGTGCAGGACACTAGGGGCAAGTTCTCAGCCTCTCTGCCTTCAGGTGCTCCTGGCCAGGTCAGGGAGATTGCAGTCAGCAGGACCTAACTTCACCATGTGGTAGTGGTACAGTGTCGTTCTCCGGCACACCCCCCCCACCCCGCCCTCCCACACACACCAGCAGCAGAGATATTACAGACCAGGAAGCTGTTGGATGTGGGGTGGAGACTTCAGAGCTGGACTGCAACTGAGGTTGGACATCTGGGTTCAGGGCCTGAACTTTTGTCAGTTGCCTTTGCTGGGCTCAGTGCCCCTGTCTGTCAAATGGGGATGGATTAGACTGCTTGCCAACACCTTTTCTGGTTCCAAACTCCAAAGGGAACAGGTGTCTTCACCTGGCCTGTTCAGCCACCTCCACAGGGAAGAAAGTCTGTCTCCTGGCAAGAATCTGCAGTTGGCTGCTTCAGAAGCTGTCAGGGATGTAAGCAAGGGGTGGGGACATGGGGAAGGGAGGGAGGTGCTGGTCAAAACTTCTCATCAGTGCTGAGTTCTCTTGTGGCTCAAGAACTGGAACTGTTCTCCTTCTGCACCCCACAGGCTTTGCTCTTGAAACAATCTGAGCAGTAGAGATGTGATCCTTACTTGTATCTGAGCTGGAGGGAACTCCCTCTTATAAGAGCCCCCTCCCCCACCTATAGCTCTTGGAGAATTGGTTCTAGTTAAGCTCAGCCACTTACTAGCTATGTGACCTTGGACAAGTCCTTTGCCTTCTCTAGGCACAGAGAATTAAACCAGGCAGTCTGAGCTCCCCAGCTGCAGCCATAGGGCAATTTTGCAATTTTGTAAGCCTGCTGGCTGACAGTGCCTATCAGTCTTCCTGCAGGTCTCAGCAGCAGCCCTGAAGCAGAACAGTTCTGGGGAGGGCCTTGGCATAGGAGAAAGGAAGGTACAGTCACTGCCCCCTCTGTGGCTGGAAAGTCTGATTCAGGAGGCTGCAAGCTGCCCTGCAGTCCTTGGGTGTGGCAGTATCTAGAAACTGCCTGCCAAACTGGCTGTAGTCACACCTGGGAAAGAGACAACAGCTGCTGGCTGGCTGACACAGCTGGCCCCATGGCCCTGACGCAGGGGATTTAATGAGGGTACTACTACCTACTCACCAGGACAGATGCCATGCCCTTGGGTGGGCACCAGCCTGGGAACAGGAGCTGGCACTGAGTAAGGCCCAGTCAGCTCTAATGGGACTCAGGGAGGGGGTTGGTCTGATCTGCAGGTCTGGCAGTGTCCTTTGACTGAGGTCTTTGGCCCCCTTCTCTTATTGGCTTACCTGGGCACTGCTTCCAGGTAGGTATGAGTTAGAAATCCCACAGGCTGGTTGCAAGGACTAGCCCTCTCTGGCTAAGAGTCCCCCAACCCCACCTTCCTGTTCCTCAACTACTCTGGCTCTGGGCTTCAGTGATTTCAGGGTTACTCTCACTTTGAAACTTGGGAAGGGAAGGAAGATTAATTAGTCTGTGCTCCTTCTGAATCCTGGGACTGGAGGAAGAGGATAGGCTGGGCTGAGGATGTAGCTCAGTAGCAGAACAAATGCTTAGCATGAAGAAGTCCTGGGTGTTCCATTCTAGCACCAAAAGTTTTTTTTTTTTTTTTTTTTTAAAGAGGATGAGGGTGCTCAGTGGTGCACACTTGTAATCAGAGTCTGAGGTAGGAGGATCATGAGTTCAAAGCCAGCTTCAGCAAAAAGCAAGGTGCTAAGCAACTCAGTGAGACCCTGTCTCTAAATAAAATACAAAATAGGACTGGGGATGCGGCTCATTGGTTGAGTACTCCTGAGTTCAATCCCAGGTATCCCCCGCCCCCCGAAATAAAGGACAGTCTTTGGAGCTAGTCATACCTGGGCTTGAAGGCACCTCCATGTGATGGAGAGCAGGTGACTTTGCTCCTGTCTATAACACAAAAGACGATAAAGATCTGTTCCCCATGGTTATTTGGTTTGGTTTCATCCCCCCTATGTTGGGGATTGAACCCAGGGCCTTGCAAAAACTAAGAATGAGCCACTACTGAGCCACATCCTAGCTCCCCATAGATTTTAGTCAAGTGCAATGCCTGGCCCTCCCTGAGTACCAACCACTGTACTCCTCTCCTCCACCCTACCCCTGGTCCTGCATGCTTCTGATGGCCAGTTACTTACGCTCCATTGCCATGACAACTCCCGGAAGCCTTCTTGGAGGGAGCCGCCCGCCTCAGATTGCCCCACCACGGCTTGCCTCCTCAGCACTTAGGCGCATTCTTTGCAGTAATTCCCTGGGAGGCAGGCGAACAACCACCCAGAGCTGGGCGCTGACTTGGCAGCAAGGTGGGGTTGCAGAGTCACTCAGAGCAGGAATGCTGCCTGGTCACTTTCAGGACAGTGTGTGAAGTACTTTGGGTGCTGAGAACACCTACGGTCTGACCCCAGCTTTTTTTTTTTTTTTTTAATATTTATTTTTTTAGGTGTAGATGGACACAACACAATACCTTTATTTTTATGTGGTGCTGAGGATCAAACCCGGATCCCTCCCGTGCTAGGCAAGCGCTCTACCGCTGAGCCACAATCCCAGCCCTGACCCCAGCTTCTTTTCCCCACCTGTTGCCTTGAACTGGGGAGATGCCCTGAGCTAAAGGACCAGGTTCAAGCAGACTTAGAGGTTTGCTTGTGCTGTTCCTGTACAGTCAACCCTGGGACTCTCAGATGGGTCCTCCATCTCTTCCCAGTTGGCGTGGGAGGCTTCTGGAGGCTTTACCCCTCCCCTTTCTCAACAGTGAAAAGGTCTGGCCTTCCAGCCCTGCTATTTCTGAATGGCTTCTCCTTTGAGCCTTAGGTGTTTCACCATCATAGGCCTCAGTTTCCTCATCTGCAAAATGAATATAGTGTTTGCCTCATTGGGTCCTTATAAGGATGAAATGAGTCAAAAGAACATGCATGACTTGGCAATCCAACCAGTCTGGGTTCTAGTCTCAGCCTGTCTCCTCTGTGACCTTGGACATGTTTCTTACCCTCTCTGTCCACAAGTCCCATCTGTGGATTGAAATAGTAATGCTAAACATAAGATTATCATGAGGCTTAATGTGGTAATGCATGTGAACTGCTAACTATATTCCCAGAACATTTGAGCAGTTAACACAGTGCCTAGAACAATGCTAAGGATTTTATTTGCAGTTTTCAATAGTGGTAGAGCTCCCCTGGGTTCAATCCCCAGTACTAAAAAAATAGGAAAGTCCCCATCTTAACTACCTACCTGAGTTACATCCCCGGTCCTTTACATTTTGATTCAGGGTCTTGCTAAATTTCTGAGACTGACCTTAAACTTACAGTCCTCCTGCCTCAGGCTCCCTAGCAGCTGCGATCACAGGCATGCACCACCACACAAGGCTCTGTCTAAATTTAATTCCTAGCTTTTCTTTCACCAATTATGTGACTTTAGGTAAAACCTGGTCTCTCTGTGCTTCTATTTCCCCATCTGCAAAGTGGAAATAATAGTACCTACCTCATTGGGTTATTGTGAGAATTAAGCAAATTTATATCTTAACATAGAAAGTGCTTCGATCAGGTCCTGGTGCTTAGTAAATTCTGTGCTTGTGTTTGCTCTTACTTGCTCTTCTGAGTCATACCTTCAAATGGATCATTCTCCAGATTTGACAAATCGAGGCTTTCAGAAAGGGTTTGACTTTCCAAAGGCACAGCAGCTGGTACATGGTCAACAGTAGATGATGATACTGTAATGATTACCTCGAAGTCCTGCTTGCAGACGTTGGGAGGCCAGGCTCCTGACACTGCTCTTTACTGCCCTTCTCTCCCTCTGCAGGTGGTCCGAAGCAGCCTGGAGGAGCAAGGACTCCGCGTGCACAGTGTGCGACTGCACGGCTCAGCCGCTAGCCACGTGCTGCACCCTGAAAGTGGCCTGGGCTACAAGGACCTGGACCTGGTGTTCAGGGTGGACCTGCATAGTGAGGCATCCTTCCAGCTGACCAAGGCAGTGGTGCTGGCCTGCCTGTTGGACTTCCTGCCAGCCGGCGTGAGCCGGGCTAAGATTACACCACTCACACTCAAGGAAGCGTACGTGCAGAAGCTGGTGAAGGTGTGCACAGACACAGACCGTTGGAGCCTCATCTCGCTGTCCAACAAGAGTGGCAAGAATGTAGAGCTCAAGTTCGTGGACTCTGTGAGGCGACAGTTCGAGTTCAGCGTCGACTCCTTCCAGATAATCCTAGACTCCCTCCTGCTCTTTGGCCAGTGCTCATCCACCCCCATGTCTGAGGCCTTCCATCCAACTGTGACAGGTGAAAGTCTGTATGGGGACTTTGCAGAGGCCCTGAAGCACCTGCGGCACCGCGTCATCGCCACACGCAGCCCTGAGGAGATCCGTGGCGGTGGCCTCCTCAAGTACTGTCACCTCCTGGTGCGGGGTTTCCGGCCACAGCCCAGCACTGATGTGCGTGCCCTACAACGGTACATGTGCTCCCGCTTCTTCATCGACTTTCCCGACCTGGTGGAGCAGCAGCGCACGCTGGAACGCTACCTGGAAGCTCACTTCGGCGGGGCCGATGCAGCCCGCCGCTATGCCTGCTTGGTGACACTGCACCGGGTGGTCAACGAGAGCACCGTGTGCCTCATGAACCATGAGCGCCGCCAGACACTGGACCTCATTGCCACACTGGCACTCCAGGCCCTGGCTGAGCAGGGCCCAGCTGCCGCTGCTGCTCTGGCCTGGCGCCCTCCAGGCCATGATGGAATTATGCCAGCCACCGTCAACTACTATGTGACCCCTGTGCAGCCCCTACTGGCTCGGGCCCACTCCTATCCCACCTGGCTGCCTTGTAACTGACTATGACCCTGGCCAGAAGGGACTGGACCTCATGGGCTGGGGTGGGGTCACCAGGAATATGTGAGGAAATGGCGAGACAAGCAGGCTGTGCCAGCCAGCCCAGCACTCCTGCAGGGTTGGGCCTTCGGTGGAACATGGCAGACTTCACTGAAGGAGGCCTCTGTGGGCTTCAGGCCAAGCAGATTCTTGGCAGGAGGACCCTTTGGTTACTGCACCGCATTTTTGGGTCAGCATGATTGTGGGGCTACTTGTTTTGAGGGTCCATTGCCTTTAGGAGACAAAGCAAGTTTAGGAGGTAGCCTCAATGTTCAGCACCCTGGGTTTATTTCCATGGCCTAGAAAGAATCTTTTTGACTAGGGTCAGCCAGCCCAGAGACTGGTATGTGATGAGGGTGTCTCACTTTGGGTCAGGCTGAACCACTGAGTCTGGTGGCCCAGCCTGGCTAATCACTTGGGGGAGGGAAACTGAGGCATAAGGCAAATACCTGGGTTTGGGGAGGGAGGGTTTGACCCAATCTCCTGAAACCCATACCCCAAGCTGTGAAGCCTTCCTCTTGAGGGGCGGGGAGTATGCAGTGGGCCCGAGGTGTACAGCTAGGAGATGTAGTCCGACCCTCCCAGTGTGTCCTTCTTTCCCTTGTATGGTGAGAAGCCCTGCTTGCCTGGGAGCTTGTCCTTTGGAAGGTGCTGGGCCAAAAGTTTCACTGGCAATTTGAGTTGTCCCACCCCACTGGCTTGGCTAGAGGACTCTGACACGCGGGGGAGCCCTACCCTCACCTCCTTTTCCACTCCTCTGGGTTCGTTGCTATTTTGCACTGTTACCACCTACCAATAAAAATTGTCTACACTGAGCCTTGGGAGAAGGATCCTCCCAGTCTGAGTCTGGCTTCTATCTTGGGAGAGGAGGTGGGGTCTGAGGTCTGGACAACGCTGCAGGGTGGCCCCGCCTTCCCTCTGCACCAGCCCCAGCCTAACAGCTTGTGTCTTCCAGTGTCCTGCACCTGCAGCTTGTTGAGTCTAGGATTCTCTCATTAAAGATGAAATGTTTCAATTGCCCAGGTTTCCTACCTAGGGTCCTAGGAGGCCCAGACCTTGCCTCATACTGCAATACCCAGGGCTGCTTAATTCCAGCTCTGCCCAGAGCAGGTGGGGAACTCACTGGGTGAATCTGGAGTGAAGGACCCTCCAGTAATGGCAGCTGAGACTGGGGGGACTTCTTGTGTCCCCTAGAGTCCAGATAGGGTCCCCCATCTAGGAGAGTCTCCTTCAATCCTCCTCCTTCCTTTCCACCTACAAGTGCTCTGAAAAGCAGGTCCCCTGGGAGGGACAGGGTCTTTCCTTTCTGAACCCAGCTGGGGCCAAGCCAGGTTGTCTGGGGGAGCTGTTCCCCCAGGGCATCAGCCACTCACCCCTGGACGCTGCCCACTGTTTACCTGGTCTCTTTGATCCAGGGATTGCAAAGCCCTTAATATATTTAGCCTCATTAGGGGCCTCTGAAGTGGTGACTTTGATGGTTCCAGCCATGGTGGGGAAAACAAGGCCCCAAAGGAGACCTCAGGTCATCAAGGTGAGTCCAGCCACCTCACCTATTCTGTGGGTTCCTGCTGGGTGCCCCAGCTCCTTCTGCTGGGCTCTAAGGGGCTGGGAGGGCACTCACAAGGCTGTTCTGGCTTGATGACAGCAAACAGTCTCCCAGCCAAGCCCACCCAGCTTGGGTCCTGCGAGGGACAAACTTTGTCCCACCTCCCAATTTGACCATTTGAACCTGGGCATGAGAGGGACTCAGTGTAAGCAGCAGGTTCAGGTTGTGGGAGTGGAGCTCACCTGGAGGTGCTTGTTTTAGGAGGTGAGAAAATCAGAAACCCACGCAGCACACACGTGTACACACTGCATCTAGCCTGTGGGTACAGGTTACTGCTCCGGTGTTGGGACTACATCAGACAAGACAGATACCCCTGCCTTTGTGAAAATACATTCTAATGAGGTAGACAAAATAAATCCTGTGGTCTTAGAAGGTCAGGGATGCATAAAGATATATATAGCTAAGCAAGGGATTGGAAGAGCTAGGGTTTGCAAATTTTAAGACATCAAGGTGCACCTCATTTAAAAAAACGACATGGGTTGAAGCAAAGACATAGGCGGTGGGAAGCAAGCCACAGGACTGCCTGAGGAAGAGTGTTCCAGGCCGAGGGGACTTGTGGATGTACATGTTTGCACGTCTGAAGGAGGGTGCATGTGCTTAAGGGTATCTGGCTGCCCCTGGGCAGTGAGTGTGCTCGCTGGTGCCCATGTGCCTGTTTGCACCAGCATGAGGGAGCTGGGGCGTGTGAGACAGGAGTCTTCAGGAACAGCTGCTATCTGGCCTGCGCTTTACTCCAGGCCAGGCACGAGGCCAGGCACTCGACTCCGGTCTTTCCAATCATTCTCATTCATCTTGCAACTCCACAAGAGAAGAGCAAGTGTTTCCACTTTACACATGAGAAAACTGAGGTCAAGGAGGTCTGTCTGACTCCTCTCCCTACACTGTGATTTCATGTGGATGATCATGATGGTGTCTCCTGTACATATATGTGGCAGGGCATGCTTGACATTATTGTGACATTTGTCATTTTCCTATGATTGACTGGCATAGTAGTCTGCCAAGATGTACATTTTCTTGCCATGGCTTGTGGTGACTGTCCTGGACCCACAGTGGCAACAGCATGCCTGTGGGTGTGTTCGGGAGTGGTGCAGTTTCCGGGTTTGAGAAAAACACTGACTCAGTGGCTGACATTATTTCTCTGTGGACAATTCCTGCAGCGACCTGATATGTCAGGACAGGTGGGAATCAAGAACTAGGATCAGAGCCAGTGAGGAGCTGAGGGAGGAAGCTCCTGTCCTCCTTCTTCCATCTTCTCTGGAGCAATAACAACCCACCTAGGCTTTCCAGAGGGAAGAAACAGTGCTATGGCTGGCCCCTCCAGATCCACTCTCCATCATTCTCAGTCCTGTCCCTGGGGAGGCTGCCATCTACCCAGGGCATCAATGGCTCCCTTGTTCCCTGGCTTCCTGACGCTTGACAAGAGAGGCCCTGAGGAGACAGGAAGGAGGAAAGGTTTATTCTCCCTGGTCCAGGTTGTCATGGTTGGCCACAGTTGCTTCCCTTGCCCCTTCAGGCCCAGGAGACTAAAGTCTTTCCACCTTGGAGCCCCCAGACATGCACCATCCCTGGCTAATTTCTTTTCCTTCCCTGTTGGTTTGTTTCCTGTGCTGAGGATGGAACCCAGGGCCTCATCATGCTAGGTAAGGGCTCTACCATGGAGCTACAGTTAGTCAACTTGTTAGTTTCTTAATTAATAAGCCCAGCACCCACTGTTGGAAAAAGTACTTGCTAAAACTTCCCAGTTTGAGTGTGCCCTGTCTCCTCTGGGGACCCTGCTAGACAAGCAGTCACTAACAACCCCATAGGCTGTCATGATGCCATGTTATCAATAATGGGGACAACCTCCCCCCTCGTCATACAATCTCACACACACATTCCTGTCCCTCAGTTTCCACATCAGATCTTTTAACTGAGGGGACTTCTTTGGGAGGGTGAACTGTGAACCAGGTCAAGGAAGGTATCAGTCTCTGCAAACCAGTTGACAGGCACAGACTGCCAAATTAAACAGAATCTGCTCATGGAACTGTCAACTGAAAGAGCGGTGACAGACACAAAGGGAAGGCAGCAAAGACACTTGCAAAGGGGACCTCAAAACCACACACCTTGGCCTCATATTATTGAAATTTATTCTTCCTGAATGCATATGTCAGGGGACTGATTCAATATCCATTTGCTTGCAGAATTTTACAAGTTCTGAGCTGTATGTGAATAAATGTACACTTTCCCTCTTTAGCAGGATACTTTATGAATAAATATATAGTCTTCTTGTATTTAAAATGTTGCTTAGGAGTTTTATGTTGCCACTACCTCTTCCAGAGAAAGGGGTGTGTCCCCTGGGAGGCAGTAGCTGATTGTCTTGAGGGGCCCCAGGCACACCCTCATATGGGGAGAAGAGGACAGTGGGCAGGGAAACAGGCATTTCTCAGACCAGGGTTTTCCCTCAAACATCAGATTCAAAAGCAACTGATATCTACCAGATGGGGACTCCAGCTGTTCTGTGTCTTAAGAATGATGACTCTACCTTTAAAGAGAGGTCCTTTTTGTTGTCACTTTGAAAATGTTTGCTACACTCTCAAAAAATCTGATTGCATCTCAGGGCCCTGTGTTACCATCTTCAATCATACAGAGCAAAGCCAAATGTGGTGCATGTAGAGAAATTCATAGTGTGTGGGCAAGTTCCCCAGAACCCAGCCCTTTGCCATGGTGAAGTGGTGGCTCCAGACAGGAGGGCACTGAGGTCAGGTAGGGGCAATTCTCAAAGTCTTCCTGAAGGTGTCCAGGGAAGGAGCAGAATCTAGGAGTTCAGATCCATAGAGTAGAGGCTCTGAGGAGCTAGGAGGAGCTGGAAAGAATAATTCCAAGAGTTTTAATGACCTCTTTCCCACAGTCACCCAACCCCAGCCCAACACTTCAGCGACTACCTCTGGCACCAGCTTTCCACAAAGGCCCCTCTTAAGGAGGGGCTCAAGGAGAAAGCAGAGGTTCCCTTGGGCCTTTGTCCTTGGCTGGGATCCCCACTGGTCTGAGCAGCTAGAATGGAATGTTCCTGGGATGAAAAGCCTGCCTCTCCTCCACCTCTCCCCTTAAGGAGTTCTTCAGGGCCCAGTGGAGGGGAGGGACGTTCCAGGGATTCCTGATGTGGAGCTGCTCTGCTGTAGAGAAGCCAAGGCCCACTCTGCCCCACAGACTAGAGGCTGTTCTGGCAGCCTCTTCTGGCCTAGGCAGAGTGGTTCCATCATGCACAGACCTCCAGTATGTGCTAGGAACTTAGTGGGACTTCTCATTTAACGCCCAGAAGTTAGCTCCATCCTAGGCACCTCCGGCCCAGTACAAAAACAAACAGAAGAAACTGACTTGGAAAAGAGAAGTCAATGCCCAAAATTCCTCAACTGAAAAGTTTCAGGCCAGTACTGAATCTCAGGTCATTTTGTTCCACCTGGGCCCTTTTTGTACACCAGGGAGTGTGTTACTCTTGTCACCTGCCAGGTGAGAGCCCAGTGATACCCCTGGCAATGGAGCCATTATTAGCATGCCTAATGTTTAAGGGTTCACTTACAGGTTCTATGTCTTTGACTAAGTCTTCTGCCCTCCCTGACCCTGGTTATCCTCGTCTGTGGAAATGGGGATAACCTTTATTTTGCAGAGTGGTTGGGAGAAAGAAAAAAAACAAATAATGGGTGTGAAGTGCTTAGCACAGTGCCTGTCATGGAGGAGGTGGTTAATTTACTATTCCAGACCCAAGGCTTCCCCTCCCCCATCACTCCTGGCCAGGGTGTGGTCAGGGAATAATGGGAGAAGAAATAGATTGGGAATTTCCCAGCTTTCCTAAATACTTCCTCTCTGGCAAGCCATAAAACTGGGAGCCTCTCCTTCAGTTCTCCAGCTCAGGGACACCTGAATTGTTCTCAAGGAATCTGGTTGTAGGGTTGGGCTCCTCCAGGTCACTGCTCATTGTAGGACTGGAGCAGTTCAGACACAACCTCTCAGTTCAGCCTAATCTCTAGACCACCTCTGTTGCTAGGTGGTGCCAGGACAGGATGTTCTGATCAATTATCATTGTAACAAAATCTATGAATAGCGCCATGGGGACACACCCCTGTAATCCAGGGACTCACAGACTGAAGCAGGAGGATTGCAAAATCGAGGACAGACTGGGAAATTAAGCGATACCCTGTCTCAAAAAAAAAAAAAAAACACCCGACCTGGGGCGGGGCTGGGCTGGGGCTGTGGCTCAGTGATAGAGGCCTTGCCTAGCATGTATGAGGCACTGGGTTCCATCCTCAGCATCACACAAATATGTAAATAGCGAAAGAATTCTGGGCTTCTACTCAGAGGGGTAACCTCTTTCCAGGAAGTCATCCCTAAAGGACCTTCTTCCTGAAGAGCTGGGCCACCTCTGCGCCTCTCCCTGCCCCTACTTAAGAGGCACACAAGTTGAGTTTCCAGCTTGACCATCCAGGAAGCCATCACTGGAATTACACCGCCACCCCCGGGCCGATCCGACCGCCACCACCTGCTGGTTCTGCACACCCTTACAGCTCAAAGTCAAGGAAACCCCGGGACTACAGGAAAGGGGATGGTTTGTGGCGGCACCACCGGGGATCCAACCCGATCCAGACCACGCCTCCACGTCTCAAGAAGTAGCCCCACACTGCCCTCTGGTGGCAGCACCCACATACTGCTGAGCTCTGCCAAGAGAGGGAAGAGGCTAATCCTGGGGATGTGGAGCAGCAAGGTTCCATACTAGATCCCTGAACTGTCTCCAAGCCCCACGCTCCAGCCTGAAGAAAGGCTCCTGTTTCCCCTCAGTCCTCAGTCACGAAAGCCTCAGTGTCCTCAAAGTACAGGCTCCACAAGATTCCTGTACTCAGTCCAATGGCCACTGAGAAAGTGTTCAGAAAGTCACAGGAGGAAGGGAAGGGTCTGTCTCTTGCCAAAGGGCTAGTTATTAGTGGAGGTCTAAAAAAATTGCCTTCCAACAACACAAACTTCTAGACCCCAAGGGTCCTCTGGGATGGTGAAGCCAAGGAAGTCTGCCTGGAAGAGGGCTGGAAAACAAGCTCTCAGAAGCAGAGATTCTCTGATCTGATTCTGAAAACCCTGGACTGACATCAATATTTGTTGATTGAGGAAAAAATGGAGTCAGGAAGCTCTATGGCGGGGGGGTGGGGTGGTGGCAGTCAGGCATGAGTGGGAAGGTGACTTTTATTAGTTGGCTGAGGAGCAGTGGAAAAAACACTAACCAGGAGCTGGGGTTTAAGTCACTGAGCTCTTTATGCCTGGGCCTAGGTCCTTCGTAGCAAGCAGTGGGGCACCTGGAAGTGAAGGGAAGGGACAGAGATGTCTGTGACATCAGGACTAATCTCCACATACCCACCCCTTTCTCCTGTGAGTATCATCTCTAATTCTCTACGAATCCACCTACCTCCCCCTCAAATCAGGATAAAGCTGATTACCAACAAATCCCAGAGAAATGCAAAACTGATGGCACAGAGCACTTCATGCCATTAGCTAAAAGCTCCTCTGGACCAACTGCTCCTGCGACCCAGAAACCAAACAGTCCTGGTTGCAGCCCAGCACTGCTGCCTGAGCTCCCTCACTGTGTCACCTCCAGAAAGTCCTGGTCTTTGGACCCGAAATGACCAGAGTGGCTTTGGAAGGTCCTCTTTCTCCAGAGAGACTAGAAGATGCCAAGGCTCCTCACTGTTTCCCTGGTCCCCAAACTTTCTCAAGAGCTCTGAGATAGAGCTTTCCTCCAGCTAAACAGGGGTTCAAGAAGGCCTAGTTGTTAGCTGGGAAACCAGCCAAAAAGTTTGTTACCTAGGAAAAGGAAGAGCCGATTGGGGGGTGGGGCAGATGAGGGTCCCTGTCTATCACCGCAATGGAGCTAACCTTTCACCACTCACAGTCAGATTCCTGAGACTGACAGATTCATCACTTTCCTTCCCTCTAGTCTCAAGCCCTGATACAAAGAAGGACAGCTACAGTCAAAGAGGAGGACACTGACTCAAAGATGGGGCAGAGTTGTTTTTGGTCACACTATAGATGGGCCCAGAGGTCAGCTCTCTCTAGCCCCAGTATAGAATATTATGTGGATACACAGAGGACTGGGTTCCTTGTTCTGTCCCTTCCTGGCAAGTGACCTTGAGAAAATCCCTCTCCATTCTGTAAAATGAGGACTTTAAATTAGCTCCTGGCTCCATGTAGAAGCAGTGTGTGGCTGTAGGTGTGATTTAAAAGAGTAAAATATCTTTTCATGACTTACAGTGGAAGAAGACAGTCCTTTGCCCTTAATTTCCAAATAGCCCTTCTGGGAGGTAGTGATACCCACCTGACAGACTAACAAGTGAAGGTGCAATTATCTATGAGCAGGGAAGCAAGGACCAAGCCATCACAGATGAGTGGGGGCAGAGGAATGAAGGATCTGAAGGGCATCTGCACAGGAAGAAGCAGATCATATTTCTAGTCTGGCCCTTTAAAGCCCCACCTTTCTGGAAGATGATGCCATACCTGCCCCCTTGGGGCTGTTAAAGGGTGTCACACCTGGCGCCATCACTGGCAGAGCCACCTTAGAGATGAGTTGGGAGAAGGGCCGCTAGGTGAGTAAGTGCCAAATATCCCATCCTAATTATCTCAGACTTAACGAAGCTGCATGAAACATGAGAAAAGCTCTGTTTCCAAGAAGCAGAGGGTCTAAGTTTAAGTATGATGGGGACAAATCCTCAAATTCTCTGGGATTCTATCTCCCCAAATGGTAAAGGGGCTCAGAAGAGAACTCAGTCATACAGTCCTGTGCCAGCCCCCATCCCATCCTAGGACCTCATTATTCTGTCCTGATATTGTTGAGGCTTGAGGCTGCTGTTTTCTCGAAGTGCCAGAAAACAGCAGCCTCAAGGGCAAGACTTCTTACAGCCCCGAGGGATCCAGAAAAGGCAAGGAAAGTAGAGGTGAGGGTTCGGTGTTGTGCCAGTGCAGCGGCAGCAGCTGGCAAAAGTTTGCCACCAAATAAATCCCTCCTGGGAGTTGAGCACCCTCCATTTGTCCAACTCTATAACAGGAACTTCGTGCTGCCCCTTACCCCCTGGTGGTCTGCAAGAGGCGGCCACGGAAAGTGGACAGCCTTATTAAGGGCTCAGCAGACGCCAGAAGCCCCAGGGACAGGAGATCCTGGGCCCTGCAGCCCCACCGCCCCTTGAAACCACCAGCCACTAACACCGCACCTCAGCCTCCTTTACTGGGCTCCTGGCCCCCAGTATGTCTCTTCCTGTCGTGGGTCAGTCTGTTCATCAGCATAGGTGACACCGTCCATCCTGCCGGCATCCTCAATCCGTTGGTTGGCACCTCGGTGATGGCCTGACCTGGGTGGCCAGGGGTCCGGGCGCCTGAGCTCAGCGTTGGGGGGAAGCGGGGCCGCGGGGCGGGCTGCGGCGGAAGGGCGAGTCGGGCTCGGGGCCATGGCCGCGCCGCAGCCGCCCGGCGCCCCAGGGCACGCAGCTCCCCAGGCCGAGAGCAGAGGCCAACAGCGCCGGCGGGCGGCCGCGGCGGCCACGACGCGAGCCCTTCTTGAGGCGCGACCCGTGCGCCGCCAGGTAGAGCTCGGCCTGCGCCACGCCGCCGCTCAGGCGGCTCAGGCTCTCTGCGCGGTGCGCCAGGCGCAGCTCGGCGGCCAGAAAGACTCGGTGTAGCTGCAGCACGCGGCTCTCCAGCTCCGACACCAGCCGCCGGCGGCCCTCCACCTCCAACAGCCGCCGCCGCGCTTCGGCTAGCTCCAGCGCGCGGCCCCCAGCCCCCGCCGCAGCTCCGGAGCCACCGCCGGCGCCCCCTGCCGCCCCGGTGACCCCAGCGCCCCCACTAGCGCCCTGGCGCCAGCGCTGCAGCTCCTGACCCTCGGCCTGCGCAGCTGACGCCTGGGCCGCCTCCGGCAGCGGCCGGGACTGAGCTGGGGTCGGGGTCAAGGTCGGAGTTGGGGGCGGGGGCTGAAGGGACGACAGGGGCTCCCGGGGCGGCGGCGGGGGGGACCCCGGTTCTGCCGTCCCTTCCTGAGCCCCTGGGCCGCAGGCGCTGATGCGGCAGCCCGGCATCCCCCGCCCCCCGGCGGCCTGCGGGTGTGGGTCCGCGGAAAGGATGGACGCTGGGCACGCGAGGAGAGAGAGGCGGCCGCAGTGCCCACGCCCGCGCCGCACCCGCCGCCGGAGCGTCTTATAGAACAGGGGCGGAGCGATGGGCAGCCCAGCCAATCAGAGACGGGTATACCCTGAACCCGTCGCCACCAGCTCTGAGCTTTCAGGACCTTCCCCAAACCCTTTAGCTTCTCAGTTCTTACTCCAGCCCTCCGCTGTTAGGGCATCAGGTCCCCATTCACTTCTCCACAAATTTGGGGTGAAAAGCGGGCCGTATCTTCCTCCACCTCGTCCCTCAGTCAAAAACTGTGAAGGTTGGTGCTTAGAAGTCAAAGAATCCAGTGTCCACTTCGGGGAGGGGCCCCCCGCGTGACAGAGCATGGACTAGTACTCAGGAAGCTTGACTTTCACCTTCCCATACGTCCTGCTGCCCCTTGGCCAAATCAGCTCTGCCTGATTTGGGCCGCAGTCTCGTTAGGACCCCCTCGCATCTCATTGGGGTAATGGAGGGGCGACTTGGCGTCCCTTCAGCCCAGGGAATGGACATCTGGCTGGGTTGGTCCCATGCCAGGCCGGCCATTTGCTTGCAAAACAAACACTATAATCCTGCGGCTGAGCACGCAAATCTTGGTGCCTGCCTCCTCCCAGGACTCCTGGACTCCAAGGTGGGCAAAATTATTTCCCTGCCCCTCTCCTTGCCCCTCTGTATGCTCCTCTTAGCAGGTGTCCCCACACCTTTACACGAAGGGAAGACTTAGACGGTGCCTTGGGGCCTTGCCCGGGGTCACATTGCCCGCTCAGGGTCACATTGCCCGCTAGTGGCTGAATCTGGACAGAAATGCAAGAGCTTTAGCTATTTATGCCCTCTGAGGACTCAGACACCTTGGTCCCCTGCCTGTCGCAGAGGGACCCTCCATATTTGGAATTCAGTCATTCTGGAAAAATGAAAGCAGTGAGTCCTGCCCACTCTCCTGGCAGCAGAAATGGCCCTGCTGTTCCACTTACAAATACTGGCCAATTCACCATGGCCCTACCTCAGGTTCCGTCAGATGGCAGGTGTCTGTGGTGGGAGGAGGCAAGGTCTGGAGGGCCAGAAGCCCGCTCTGAAACCAGATGGGGAGGACCTAAGAGGAGTGTGGCCAGCGAGAAGAGGAGGCTGCTGACGGAGCGTCACTGACTTGAGGAGGAGGAGGAGGAGACTCATCTGTCCCTGTGTTCTCCAAGTGCTTACAGGTGCCTTCCGATGAGTGATGGGACTCGTGGGCGAGACAACTCAGCTCCAGAGAAGCAACTCGGCAGAGCCTCCGAGGGGAGGGAGGAGCCTCAGGGGGAGCTGCGCCCACTGAAGAGGGGAAGAGGGCTCCGAGGGATCAAATGAGAGGGAGGTGCTCAGTGACTGAGAGTAGGAGAGGCTCCTGCTGGGGGTGGGGGGTGGGGATGACCCAGTCACCCGGAGAATGCTCACCGAGGGCAAGAAGAACCTCTGAGGGCAGGCGAGGGACCTGCAAAGGAAGCTGAAATTTAGTGGGTGCAAAGGTGCGAAGGAGACTCGCAGTGGGGGAAGGGAGGCTTAGCGCATGAAGATCCTGGGAGCCAGAGGGGTTCGGTAAGGATGAGGGAGGCTTAGGGGTTCCCAGGTTGCTCCCAGCAAGGATGAATGCCCTCGAAATGGTGACATCCCTTTGAAGAGTTTCCTCTGTGTCATCAACCTGAGTCTTCTCAGCGCAGAACCTCCCCGCCACACACACACATCTTCATCAGGGTGGAGATTGACAGGTGTTTTGTCAGAATCAGGCAGGTCACTGCTCCTGACTCCTAAGGATGAATGAAGGGGAGTAAGACCACTTACCTCCACTTCTACTGTTGATTAGATCCAGAGAACCAGTTAGATCTGGTTCAAACCCCTCACATACTGTCCTTCCAGGTAAACTTGGACACTAATTTCTCTGAGTGGGAGGAGATTCTCAATAAATATTTACTGGGGGCTGAGGTAAAGCTCAGTGGTCAAGTGTGTGTTCAGCATGCACAAGGTCCTGGGTTCAATCCCCAGCACCACATAAATAAATAAATGAATGGATGAACTGGATGAATGTTCTCTAGATCAGCATCCTTTTCTTCCTAATGAAAACCCAGAGCCCCCCAAAGTTGCCTCTCATCTCCCTGTTATTGCCCCCAAATAATTCCTGTTCCTATCTTTTTGGCATTTCTCACAATGTATGTATTTGTTTAGTTTTATGGGGTTTTCCTCTCTTTTTTGGTACCAGGGCTTGAACCTGGGGCACTTAACCACTGAGCCACATCCCCAGCCCTTATTATTTTTGAGGAAGGATCTCACTAAGTTGCTGAGGCTGGCTTTGCACTTGAGATTCTCCTACCTAAGCCTCCCAAGCTGCTGGGATTACAGGCATGTGCCACCACACCTGGCTTATTGTTTAGTTTTTAATAATCTTCCCCTAGACTGGTTTTGTTTATCATTAGAATACTCTGGCTCTCAATAGAGGGCATTCAATATTTTTTTAAAAAATATTTATTTTTTAGTTATAGATGGATACACAATATCTTTATTTCCTTTCTTTTTTTTTTTAATGTGGTTCTGAGGATCGAACCCAGTGCCTCACCATGCTAGGCGTGCACTCTACCACTGAGCCATAACCCCAGCCCTCAATAATTTTCCCCCCAGTACTAGGGATGAAATCCTGGGTCTTATGCAGGATCAGAAAGAGCACTAATACTGAGATACACTCCCAACCCAATAAAAAATGTGATTGAATTAGGAAATAATGCAAGGATGGAACTTGCTGAGAATGAAGAGTTCTCTTTCTCCATCCATTCATTTATTCATTCTTTCACTCATTCAACAACTTGTTCATTACCTCCTCTGCTGGGCTACCTGCTGAGTGGCACAGCACTGATCAGATGAGCCCTATCTTCTGTGAGTCCAGCGGGCACACAGACAGGTGACTGTAGCTGGGTGAGATTTCTACTGGATGTGGGAGGCTGAGGGAACAGCACTAAGGCCAACTGAGTGGGGAGAGAACACAGAGGGTTTCCTCTAAGAAGTGGCATTTCGACTGAGACCTGAAGGATGAGTCAAAGAGAGTGATGCAGAGATGGTGGGGGAACAGGGAGGGAGATTCAGGATGCAAACAACACGTGCAAAGGACCAGGGGTGAGAGAGGTTTGGCATCTGACAGTTTTCTTGCCACCTGCCTTAACTGACCTGAGCTCTACAGCCCCAGGTATGAACAGTGGACACCTCCACATCCTTCCTCCTCTTGTCTTTTTCCATCTTCTCTTCAGAGTCCACAGTCAACCACCTACCTGTCAGTGCCGTCATCATGGAAAACACAACACTTAGAATGAGGGAATGCATTTCTAAACTATGACGAATAGTATGTTTTTTCTGATCTTTATAAAAAGTATACATTCTTTACATGGAAAATATTATAAATAAATAAACAATCAAGAGAGGAAAGGGACCTGAAAGAAGACACTTGTGTTTGAATCACACCAAGGACTTTTGTCCTTTCCCAGCTGTGCAACCCGAAGAAAAGAACTTTTTTCCTGAACTTCACAGTTCTCATCTAAGAAATGGAACTGCTATTGCCTCTGGCATAGACAAAGACAGATTAAAGACTTTGCCCAAGATCTCCCAAATCAGTCGTGTCTACTGACTCAAAACCTGTGCTCTGAGTCTGAGGCTCTGGAATAGAAGAGGCAGCCCAGGCCAGACTCCCGAGGCCTGTCCAATAGGTACCCAGTCCCTCCCTGAGGACAGTCAGGAGCAAGAGAGGTTTGCAGAGGGAATGACCAGTGTCAGATGGCCCCAGTCAGATCCCCTCCATTGCTGAGAGTTGGATGGGGTGGGGGTCAAGGCCTGAGGAGTCTACTTTCAGGCCAGCCTAGAAGATTCGAGGCTTCAGCTGAGATCCAACCCCTCCCTTTCAGTATCTTCCTGGCAACCTGGCCTGGCATCCTCTATGATGTGATCTCAGTTTAATAATTTAGTAGATGCTGACAAAGATAGCATGGGTCTGAAAATAACCCAGCCAGGCCCCAGCCTGCATCTCCCCTTCCCCCAGCAAATGACCCTGCCCTCTCCCTAAAGTCTCTAGTTACCCTGCACGCCTGTCAGTTCCCTTCCCTGCCGGTGGACACCTGAGTGGACACCTCCACATCCTTCCTCCTCTTATCTTTTCCCATCTTCTCTTCATTTCCTCTTTTTCTCCATTCTTCCACTTTTAAATCAATTAGGGCTTAAAGAAGCCAGTAGACTTGGGTTTAATTCCCTGTTTGGGCATAAGCAAGTCTCTTCCCCTCTCCCAGCCTCTGTTCCTGCATAAGAGGCCTCTAGATTCCTAAATGTTGTGTGTGGGTTACTGAAGGGTGGGAGGTGGGGGTGGGGGGGTTCCATGGACAGGAGACTGGATGTCTCCCCAGGAAGGCACAACTACAGTGGCAATATCATCTCAGCCAAGAGCACTCCAAGCCAGTCTGCTGCTCCATGCAGAAAGCTCGGGCTTTCTTTGTTTTTAATCTCTCCTGTGATGAAAATTTTGCCCTAGTTTTTATTCTGGGAATAAAAGGCTGTGACTTGTGTTCACAATGGAGGTAGCAGATGCCATGTGCTTTTGAGGCTTCATCTCATTATGACAAGTAGAAATTATTCTCTTTACCCCTTGAAGTCTTGCTCAAATTATCCTACTTTTAGGGTCTCCAGTTTCTTGTGTTTGTTTGCTTTAAGAAAAACAATTTTATTAGGAAGACAAAAATTATCGTATTCTTAATTTGAACAGGTAGGTTATATAAGAAAGGATCTGATAGCCTGCAAGACTTGGACCCCATTTTTTTCTTTTGGTACTGGGAATTAAACTGGGGCGTATTAGCACTGAGCTACACACCCAGCCTTTTCTATTTTTTATTTTGAAACAGAGTCTTGCTAAGTTGCCCAGGCTGGCCTG